CTCTTCAGCTCAAGGCAAGCGCTCTACCACTTGAGCTACAGCGCCACTTCCGGTTTTCTGGTGGTTTATTGGAGATAGGAGTCTCACGGTCTCTCCTGCCCGGGCTGGCTTTGAACCACGATCCTCAGATCTCAGCCTCCTAAGTAGCTAGGATTATAGGCGTGAGCCACTAGCACCCGGCTAGCACAAAGCTTTTGTAGGCCCAAATCACATAAGGTATGAGGAATTTCTCCTAACAAAATGTTACACATAAGCAAAGAAAACCAGATGAGGAAACTTAAACCTACTAAAGGTGTTAAATATAAGCAAAGCAAACCATCTGAGGAAACAGGGGAAATCAAGAGCCAATTATCTATGAGAAGCAAGACTTTCCAGGAGCTTAACAACTCAGGACACATTTGTAATCCAAAGAATGTCCTCCCTCCGAAGTGGAAGTAGCGCTGTGGCTCAAGCAGTAGGGAGTTCACCTGGTGCTGAAGAGCCCAGAGACAGCACCCAGGCCCAGAGTTCAAGCCCCAGGACCGACAAAAAAAAAATAAAAAAAAAAAGTAATGAAAACAAAAGACATTGTTTCGGAACATCTTACGTCTCCCTATCCCTAGCCAACCAATTAGAATACTGTAGGATCTGATCAATAAACACCTAAATGTAATAGAAGCAACCAATCAGAGAACAGTTCCAGGTATAAGAATTTTAGACTCAGAGCCACAGGAACAGAGAGAATCACCTGGGGAAGAGAGAGTGAATAACTAATGAAGACAAACACAATGGACAAACAGAATAGCCAAAAAGACCTTTGAGCAAGGTACTTTTCTAGTGAATAAAGTGTTCACCTCCTCCTCTACTGTCCTGAATGTTGTTCCCTGGGTTAGCTTGGATCATGATCTTCCTCTTACACCTCTTGGAGTAGCCGGGATGACAGACAAGGCACCACTATGCCATTTTATTTTTATTGATTTAGATAGAGTCACCTAAACATTTTAGCATGCTTGTCCTGGAACCACAATCCTCTTGATCTACACCTCCTAAGATCACAAGCGTGAATCATAATGCCTGGCTTGGAAATCATCTCTTTAACATGAAGAAATAGTAGTAAAATAAATGCAAATTAAAATCACCATGGGAATTCGAGAGTACTAGTTATTATGTCCTGCCTATTTTTTTTGTTCGTTTTTAAATAAAAATCTTTAATGCAGAATTGAGTGATGGGTACATTTCTTGAAAACAACATTGCAGCATGTATTAAGACTTAGAAAGGGTTGGGAAGGTGGCTCAGTGGTAGAATGCTTGCCTTGCATGCATGAGGCCCTGGGTTCGATTCCTCAGCACCACATAAGCAGAAAAAACTGGAAGTGGCACTGTGGCTCAGGTGGTAGAGCGCTAACCTTGAGCTGGAGAGCTCAGGAACAGTGCCCAGGCCTAGAGTTCAAGCCCCACAACTGACAAAAAAAAAATCTTAGAAAATCTTCAAAAATTTTGGTGACTCCCGCCTCAAGTGGGTCTATCTAGGTGTGGACCAATATTTATACACAGCTGGATATGATGGCTTAAGCCTGTAAACCTAGCTACTTGGAAGGCAGAGATAGAGGGATCATGGTTCAAGGACTATACAAGCATAAAAATTCTGGAGATTCCATTTTAGCCAATGGCTGGGTGTAGTGACGTGTGCCTGTCATTCCAGCAAAAGGAAAAAAAGTGCAAGATAAACACAACATGCACACACAAGTAAATAAAAACATACTCCCTCAATTTAAAAAAAAGGTTTTTTTTTTTCCCTTTTAAACTTCCGTGTATTATATACTGTAGAGTTCCGGTATCTTTTCTTAGAAGTTGTGGCCTTTTCTACACTCCCCTTTGTTAAATGATTTTCCTCTAAATACCTGCTCTTTAACACCCTAATTTCATTGAATCTTGACTTTTTCAAGCGGATCTCTTGTTTCTCCCTAATCCAGATCATTGGCATTTATAGGTCACAATCTGATTTATTTGTTTGATATTGGGTCTTCTTAAGTAGCTCAAGCTGGTAAGACCTGATCTTCTGCCTTGTCCTCCCTAGTGCTGGGATAACAGGTGAGCACCACCAGGCCTGATTCACAATCCAGTTCTAGACTCCTCCTACTCCCCTGAAGCTATCTCCTTTTATAGCCTCTAGTATAGAATTACATGTATTTTTTTACGACCTATTTTTTCCAATTTTAAAAATAACTACTGCTTATAAGAGAAAGTTTAGAAGCATAAAGAAAGTACAGTATGGTAGACATTGCTGGCTTTCTCAACATTCATTCTCCCTTTTTTTCCCTTGAGACTCAAATTAGCTAAACTTCCTAGAAAAAAATAAATAAAAAGCCCTATGTTTTCCATTCTTCCAAACCTGAGAGGGACTTTGTCAGAATCATTTGGTCAGTGGAATGTGAATAGAAGTGATGTGAAAGACTTGCAGAAATTGCTATTAAACCTCCCCCTTTTCTTTCTCTCCAGGTTTTGCTGGCCAGAATGCAAACACAGCAGACATGGTGGTGAGCTATCTTCAACCATGCCAACCAGAGCAAGATTTAATATGGCCTTACTATGAAATACTAGGAGGCTGGCATTGTAAAGACACCATATAAGCACTGATGTTTATGCTCAGGCTATTAATACATTCATATTTCATTTATATCACTAATTGTTTTGTTTCTTTGTTATAGCAATCTCATCTGGGTCCTAACCCTCCCCCCAATTCATTCAAGAAAAAGTTATGCTGTCATAATGTCTGTATTCTGCTCACAGAGCTATATAATGAAAATGATCCTTGCAAAACTAAGCAATTGTCTATTTCATGGCGTACTGAGAACTCTTGAAATTTAGTGAAACCTCTGTCTTAAGGGGCTTGACTAACTAATATGGCTTTTAGGAGCATAAGGCTAAAAAGATGGATGACCTAGGATGATCTTAGCCTCCTATTAAAATGCTTGCCCAACAGGGATGGGAGGGTGAAACTGGGGGAAAGCCAAGGAAGGGGTGACATTATCCAAAAGAGAAATGTATGCATTAACCTGTGTGAAATAGTAGCCCCTCTGTATAATACCTTAGTAATAGCAATAAAATTATTAACAAAAAATCCCTGCCTAAGAAAGATAAATACTGTCAGGAGAATTTACTATTGGTGCTTGCCAACCCTAATGATAGAGTCCTTTGACATTTGTTTCTTACATCATTTATTAAAAATTGCTTTGGGGCTGGGAAGGTGGCTCAGTTGTAGAGAGCTTGCCTTGCATGCATGAGGCCCTGGGTTCGATTCCTCAGCACCACATAAGCAGAAAAAAAAGCTGGAAGTGGTGCTGTAGCTCAAGTGGTAGAGTGCTAGCCTTGAGCTGAAGAGCTGAGGGACAGTGCCCAGGCCCAGAGTTTAGGCCTCACAACTGGACCCCCCCCCCAAAAAAAAAAATTGCTTAGAAGCCAGGTGCTGGTGGCTCATGCCTATAATCCTAGTTACTCAGGAGGCTAAGATCTGAGGATTGTGGTTCAAAGCCAGCCTGGGGAAGAAAGCCCATGAGACTCTTATCTCCAATTAACCACCAGAAAACTGGAAATGGCCTATGGCTCAAGTGGTAGAGCGCTAGCCTTGAGCTGAAGAGCTGAGGGACAGTACCCAGGCCCAGAGTTCAGGCCCCATGACCAGACCCCCCCCCCAAAAAAAATACATATATATATATAAAGACTTACCATAACCAGCCAGTACCAGTGGCTCACCTGTGGTATGAGAGTCTTATTTACAATGAGAAGCTTAAAAAAAAGGATTAAAATCCATGTATGTACCTAGGTAGGAAGTGAATCCTTCTATCAAAAATGGGCTGGAGTTGTGGTTCAGTGGTAGAGCACCTGCCTAGTAAGCAGAGGTCTAGAGCCCTGGTACCTTGGTACTGCTGAAAATTAAAAAAAAAAAAATTGACCATGACATAAGGATAACTATAACATATCCAAAGGCTGAGGAAGAGTACCTAAGGAAGGACAAACCAGAAACGAGTTCAGACTCCCTTGACCAGAGTGTATTTGGACATAGAGAGTCTTTAGAATTTATGGGATTGAGGATTCGTGAGGCTGGAGAAGCTGACTGTGGGTGGCTTATAAGACAACTGAAGAATTTCAGTTTTTATAAATGGCAGCTATATGTGTGCATCACAAGCAAAGACAGTTCAAAAGGTTATGAAGTGTCAAGTCAAAGTTCTCAGTATCATGTATTCCCTTTCAGAATGCCAGCAAAGAAATGATTCACAGAAAACTTTTAAAACTTTGTTTTCTCACTGTATCAAGAGTTCAGCAGACCTTTCCGACCCAGTCCGTACAGAACTCCAAATTTTAAAAAAGTTAAAAGAAGGCGAGACTGGGAGTGCGATCCCCATGGCGTTTCTACTTGGACTTAGAAATCTCTTCCTCTCCCCTTTCCCGAGCTCCCGCAGACTTCAGGCTGAGTGCTAACGCTTCGTTTTCAGCCCACAGCTGATTTTATTTTAGTGTCTCATCTGATTTCTCCATACCGGGGTGGGAGGGGATCATGCCGTACCGCCATAGCCTCACCCCAATTCCTGCCAGACGCAGGCCACTGACCCGCAGTTATTCTCTCGTCACGATGGCCCCGCCCCGACTCCGCCCCGACTCCGCCCCAACCCCTCACGCGGCCCGCCGCAGGCTCCGCCTACCTACCGTGCCCCCTCCAATCAGCGTGCTCCGCCGACGCAAAAACCACGCATCTTCCGCACCCAGGCTCTGACCACCTGGGAACTGACACCGCCCCCTCAAGAGCTCCTCGCGCTCCATTCTAAGGACGCCGCTTGCCCCGCCCAGTTCCCGCCCACCATGTCCTGGGTCCCGCCATCCGGAAACTGCCTCCTCTGCCCCAGGCTCCGCCCACTCTGCCCTTTGAACCGGCGCCCACAGTGGCCGGTTGGCTACTTCTTCCCGCCCGGTGGCGTCGGTGAGAGCCCCTGGCCCGGGCCATGGAGGGGGCCCGCCCCACCGGTGCCACCGCCGCGCGCTACCAGCCGGCCTGCCCCACGCGGGAGGCCTGTGTCTACAGCAGCTGCTATTGGTAAGGGCGCGGGCGCAGCCAGCCGGCGCGCGGGCCGCGGAGCACCGCCTCCTCCCGGCCCCGTTCCAGGCCCACTTCGGCGATTTGCGGGAGGGAGGCGCTCGGGCACGAGCCTGGTCTCGGCCGCCGGGTGCACGGGCTGCGGGCGGCCCTGAGGGCGGGGTGGCGGTGGGCGGTAGTGCGCTCCCTGCCTCCGCCGGCCGCTTGTCGGCTGGACTTGCGTTGCAGGTTCCGGGGCCTGGAGGTGAGGAAGACGAATTGGGGGTGAGGGTGAGCGCAGGAAACCTGCCAGTGACTGCTGGGCCCTGGGTGCTTTCCGATCTCCGTGCCGATCTGTTTAAAGGGGGAAGAGACCGGAGGCACCAGAGCGTTTGCGTTCATTTCCCCAAGGTCGCTCAGCGAGTAGCCAGGAATCGAATTCGAGTCCTGCTGGCACCGGTTGCGGTGATTACCCGAGGTTTGCTCAGCTTTCTCGCTTCTTGTGTCAGGCTACAAAGAATTCAGGCAAGGAGAGAGTTGAGGTACAATTTATTAAGAATTTTTGTAGCAGTTTATTAAGAGAAAGAAAAATAGACCCCCACAGAGGAGAGCAGGTCGTCTCATAGAGATCTTGTTTCGTTGACATTTAAGTGGAAGTTTCTAGAGATGTCAGTCCGAGCACTACCTTCTTGCTCCAAATTGACAGTTCGATTGTGTGAGATTGCTAAATCCTTACTTCGCTGGTGATGTTCTAGAAGCAACTATGAGAACCTTACTGAGGGTTAAGACCTGAGAGAGAATCACGGTTCCAAGCCAGGCCAAGTAGGAAAGTTCCAGAGACTTTTATCTCCAATTACCCACCGAGAAGCCGGAAGTACATCTGTGGCTCAAGTGATAGAGTGTCATCCTTGAATGGAAAAAGCTGTAGGGATATGGTGCCCAGGCCCTGAGTTCAATGCACCATACAGGCACCCTCTCTCCCCCCACCCCCAAGTACATTGTGGTGATAATTACATTTATCAATGAAAGGGCAACTTGAGGTCAATGTAACTGAGTTGGACTGAAACTTGTTTTGCTGGTGTAGTGGTTGGTTAGATTCCTGATCCTTTCTTAAACATCCTGGGATTTCTCTCTCTCTCTCTCTCTCTCTCTCTCTCTCTCTCTGTGTGTGTGTGTGTGTGTGTGTGTGTGTGTGTGTGCCTGGAATGTGTTTTCTCCCAGACACATCATGGCCATTCTTGTCCGCTATGATGGACTTGGCCCCAGGAACTTGGAACATTTTTAGTTTAAGGAGAACCTACAAGTAAAAGATATAAGGGCTGAGTACTGGTGGCTCACTCCTGTAACCTTGGCTACTCAGGAAACAGACCTGAGGATCGCAGTTTGAAGCCAGCCAGGACAAAAAAGTCCATGAGATTTGTATCTCCAATTAACCACCAGAAAACCAGAAGTGGTGTTGTAGCTCAAAGTGGCAGAGCATTAGCCTTGGGTGAAAAAGCTCAGGGGCAGGGCCTAGGCCCCGAGTCCAAGCCCTATGACACCCGCCCCTCCCCCCCCCCCAAAAGTTATAAGGCCTCCCAAGGGGGAATCTGGGAAAATTTCTAAACCTACTGGGTACTGATGGCTTATGCCTATAACTAGCTCTTCAGGAGTCTGAAATCTGAACATGGAGGGTCAAAGCTAATATAGGAGGACAAGTTTCAAAGACTCTGATCTCCGTGAACCATTGAAAAGCTGGAAGTAGAGGTGTGGCTGAAGTGGTAGAGCACTAGCCGTGAGCAGAGTGAGGGAATGAGGTCCTGAGTTCAAGAGCCAGTACTGGCACAAATCAGAAACAAAAAGGACAAAAATCCCTGGTCAGATCTCATGGTTCTTACATTTTGGTGTGGGAAAAAGCAGACAAAATCAAGTAAACCATGTTTGATGATTTAAGGACATGAGATACATAGGGCAGAGGCAGAGATGGTGACTCATGCTTTTCATAGGAGGATATATTTTTTAATGTCTTTATTGAGATTAACTGATTACATAACTTTCACAGTGTTGTGGGATAATGATACTTACCTACAGTCACAAACACCTTTTAACCTTCACAAGGCGAATTGTCATTATCATGGTCTATAAAGCTTGTGAACTCTACAAACTTTGACAGTATAACTATTTCTTCCAAATTGGGTGATATGTGCATTTCTTTCCTTTTGCTTAGTGTATGCTCTTCTCCATATGAGGATATTTAAGGAAGAAATTGTTAATATGGTGCCACTGAACAGAGATATGAAGAAAAAGGATGGGAGCTTTCTGGATATTAGAATAAGGTCCAGCAAAAGAAAAAACAAAACAAAAAAACAGATGTAGAGGCTGAAAAGGAAGCCTCCTGTGAGCACAGTGCCCTGGTTTGCCTGGTACCTTTGCAGACCCTGCTGTTCCATGGTTCCAAGGAGAAATAAGCTAATGCTTTGCATTCAGACTTCAATGCTGTTTTGTGGATGCTTGATCCATTTTCCCCATAATGCCACCTATCTTCTGCTAAAGACCTGCCACCTTTCAAAAAATCTCAAAGTAAGCACATTAACTTTTGTTTCTGGGGAGCACCATTTGCATTTATTTGTCAATATAGAGTGTAAGTTCAGGACCTTGTCCTGCTAAGCAGGTGTTCTACAACTTGGGTCATGTCCCCAGCTCTTTTTCCTTCCTTCTTTCCCTCCCTATCTCCTTCCCTCCCCCTTCCCCATCCCCTTCTTCCTTCCTTTCTCTCTATCTCTCTTCCAAGACAGCCCCAGCAGGAAAGTACTTGAGACTTTTTGTCTTCTGGTCCTGGGGCTTGAACTCAGGGCTTGGGCATTATCCTTGAACTTTTGTGCTTAAGGCTAGCACCCTACCACTTTACCATAGCTCCTCTTCTGACTTTTGGTGGTTAATTGGTAAGTCTCATGGACTTTCCAGCTAGGGCTGCCTTCAAACCTCCATCTTCAGATGTCAGACTCATGAATAGCTACTAGTACAGGCTAGAGCCACCAGTACCAGGCTACTTTACTTATTTGAACAGAGTTGTGTGTGTGTGTGTGTGTGTTGTTTTTCCCAAGTTGTCTGGACTGTAATCCTATTTTTGCTTCCTGCATAGCTGAGGTGACAGATGCATGCCATCATTCACCATTCCCAGCTTATTAATTGAGATGGGATCTCGTAAACTTTTTGCCCTGGCTGACCTCAAGCTGTGGTACTCCCCATCACCACACTAGCAGTTGGGATTAATAAGAATAAGCTACTGTGCCTGGGACTATTTGCTTTCTTTTGGAAGCATATCTTCACAAAATTAAGTTCAAGGAAACACTTAGCAGATTTCACAATGATTTACACACAACTGAATGACAACTATTACTGACTGTGAACTTATCAACTGAGCTGCATAGTGCATGTGTATTTGCTCTTGAAATTAATTGAAATTAATTTTTTGCTTGGTCAAAATCATGTGCAAGGGCTGGGAATGTGGCTCAGTGGTAGAGCGCTTGCCTTGCATGCCTGAGGCCCTGGGTTCGATTCCTCAGCACCACATAAGCAAAAAGAAAAAAGCCGGAAGTGGTGCTGTGGCTCAAGTGGTAGAGTGCTAGCCTTGAGCTGAAGAGCTGCGGGACAGCACCCAGGCCCAGAGTTCAGGCCCCACGACTGGACCCCCCCCAAAAAAAAATCATGTGCAATAAACCCATAGATAAGGTGGCCTGATCTTCAGCAAAGAGGCTGGCACATTTGGTGTGAACTGGTGGACAAATAGCAAATGATTTTGGCTAGGCATGGTGGCTTGTGTCTATGTTCTCAACTACTCAGGAGGTGGAGATAGGGACAATCACAGTTGGAGGGCAGTCTCTACAAAAAGTTAATGAAACCCCACTGGAACAAGTAATTCAGGTATGATGGTAAATACTTGTCATCCCAGCTATGCAGGAGAGCATACATAGAATTGTGTCAAAGGTTGGCCCTTGATAAAACATGAGACTTGACCTGACAAATGACTAAAAGCAAAAAAAACAAAAAAAAAGGCTGGGGGCATGTCTGAAGACGTAGTGTGCCTGTACTCAAATCCCATTAATAGGGAGAAGAAAAGTTTTTTTGTAGTTCCTTTAGCCATGGGTCAGGTTCCCTGTACCATCAAGGGAGCCATTTCCTTTGCTTCCTTCTACCTAGCTCCTTCATACCTAGCCAAGTCTTTTATCTTTGCTGGCTTAACCACTGCTCAGAGCTGCCCTCAATTTGTATGTACTGGAGAAGCATCTGAGAGCTTATGAAACTTGTAAATGTTAGGGTTCTACCCCAAAGTGCTGGACCTAAGCAGCATTGTGGAGTCTGAAGCTCCTGCTGATCACATTTGAAGGGATGCAGATAGTGAAGTCCAACTAATCAAGGCAGGCTCCAAGTTCTCTTCACTCAGGGCTTGGGAGCTGTCTTTGGAGCTCTTCCAACCTCATTTTTAGTCTGCTTTCTCTGCTCTCCTGCAGGGTTTCCATACTGGTTCTTAATTTAGGCCTAATGTTTGCTAGTTATGTGTTCTACTTGAGCCACTTTATCAACCCCTGGTTGAAGTTTTGAGTGTGGGAATCTTTTTTTTTTTTTTTTTAATAATGTCAATACTGAGCTTGAACTCATGGCTGGTGTTTTACCTCTTGAGCCATACCTTTTCTTCCAACTTTTTTTTTGTTGTTGTTGGTTGTGAGGCTTGACCTCTGGGCTTGGGCCCTGTCCCTGAGCTCTTCAGCTTAAGGCAAGTGCTCTACCACTTGAACCACAGCTCCACTTTTGGTTTTCCAGTGGTTTATTGGAGATAAGAGTCTCATGGACTTTGCTGCCCTGGCTGGCTTTTAACTGTGAACCTCAGATCTCAGCCTCCTGAGTAGCTAGGATTACAGGTATGAGCCACGGTTGCCCAGCTCTTCCAGCTTTTTGGGTGGTTAAGAGGAGATAAGAGTCTCACAGACTTTCCTATTCTGGCTGTCTTTGAACTGTGATTCTCAGATCTCAGCCTCTTGAGTCGCTAGGATTATAGGCATGAATAACTGGGCACCTGGCTTCTTTCTGCTTTCTGTATGAATCTTCTGAAGCCTTCTAGAGGATTCTGTGTTTGGACCTATATGTGTCTTCTCTGTACGCTTGAATTTACCAGATCCTCTAAGCATAGGCTCTTTTTTTTTTTTTTTGGGGTCCGGTTGTGGGGCCTGAACTCTGGGGCCTGGGCGCTGTCCCTCAGCTCTTCAGCTCAAGGCTAGCGCTCTACCACTTGAGCCACAGTGCCCCCCCGGCCTTTTTCTTTTTGCTTATGTGGTGCTGAGGAATTGAACCCAGGGCCTTAGGCATGCAAGGCAAGCGCTCTACCACTGAGCCATCTTCCCAGCCCCTAAGCATAGGCTCTTGATGAGGCCTACACCACTAAATTCTTGAGAAATTTTTATAGACCAGATAGGCAAATATTTTCTCAAAATTAGATTTTGATATCTCTTCCTTGCTAGAGGGACTTGGGGGAAATCCCAGAACTTCCTCTAGGATATCATATAACATTTTCTGATATTTGTATTCAGGAGCCTTCCTCCCAAAACACCCATCCTACCTGCTGAGGTGAGCAGGGAACCAATGTTAATAACCCAAGGCTTATTAACTCAGTAAACCCAAGGTTTATTGAGTATTTACAGTGTACTGTAAGAATGTACATTTTACAGAGGAGACAGCAGATGCTCAGAGATGTCAAGAGATTCAGATATTTTATTGCCTTTGTTTGTGGCCCACTTGGAATTTCTGTATCTCGTCTTCCCTAAAGCCTCTAGAATCTTGGCATAGCATTCTGCTTCTAAACTGTCGTCCTCTACAAGAACTGCCCAGAGAGGTGAGTTGCTACTTGTCTGAAGAGGTCTGTACTCAGCTAGCAGGTTGGAGAGATGTTTTAGAGGACACTCTTGCTAACCAGTTCATTGGATAAGAGGGTATTTCAGGTCTTTTCCAATTTTTTATTTTCATTTTTTGGGTCATATTGTGATTTGAATGCAGGGCCTCTTGCTTGCTAGGCAGATGCCCTACCACTTGTACTACATCCTTGAGCCTACAGTTAATTTTTTTCTGTTAATGTCATCATTCTTTAAAAAAATTTTTTTTGGTGCGAGTCCTTTACTTTTTTTTTTTTGGCCAAGGCTAGTGTTCTACCACTTGAGCCATAGCTTCACTTCTGGCTTTTTTAGGGCAGTTTGTTGGAGATAAGAGTTCTCTGTACTCTCCTGCTGGGGTTGGCTTTGAGCTGTGATCCTCAGATCTCAGTTTTTTGAGTAGCTAGGATTACTGGTGTGAGCCACTAGTGCTAGACTAAATGTTATCACTCTTCTGTTCAAAATTTGAAAGACACAGAATATTTACTTTTAGTTATGCTAACACTTGTTTTATTTCAGCGAGGAAAATATTTGGAAGCTCTGTGAATACATCAAAACCCATGCACAATGTCCTTTAGAAGAGTGCTATGCTGTCTTCATATCAAATGAGAAGAAGATGGTAAGTTGGTAAGTGATTGATTGCAGAAAGAAAATGAGACAAGGATGCAGCTCTGTGGTACAGCACTTATCTAGCATGGACGAGGCCGTGGGTTTAATTCCTAGCACTGCAAAATGCTAAACTAACAGCAAAAACCTCAGGTAAGAAAGATTTAGAATGACCTCAGAAGCTAAATGTATCATGGATTTAGTGCTGTTTTAAGATGTCCTTTGAAAAATATAGTAACATGACCAAGGGTGCTGATACATGCCTATAATCCCAGCTACTTGAGAGTCAGAGATCAGGAGGATTTTGGTTTAAGCTCTCCTCAGCTTTCAAGTTGACAACACTTACACTTAAAAGGATTTAGATTTGTTCTTATATAGTCTTTCATTATGATTGTTGGTTGCTTAGAAATAATTTTTCTCGTGTGTGTGGCTGTGAAGAATCTAGAAGTAGTTTTAAGTGCCACTCATGGATGTGCTATATTTTGTAGATTCCTATCTGGAAACAGCAAGCAAGACCTGGGAATGGACCTGTGATCTGGGTAAGATGGCCACTCCAAGAGCCTCTGGTGCCTTGTTCTTTGTGACCCAAGGGTGATCTGTGAGCTCTGGTAAAGCAGACTTGAGGACCAGGAGGGAATGCCTATGAAAGTTATAATACATGGATCTTTTAAGATTACTTTATTTCATATAAGGTAGAATATACATATGTATAATGTATGTATATACCTTTTTCATTCTTGTAACTGTAATTTAACAGCAATCTCTCATAATGAGGATTATTTACTTAGAAACAAAAATAAAACCAAAACCGAAACTATAAAGCTAGGGTATAGGTGCCAGTGGCTCAAAAGCCTGTAATCCTAGCTACTTAGGAAGCTGATACCTGAGGATTACAGTTCGAAGCTGGCTCAGACAGGAAAGTTCATGAGATTTATCTCCACAAAGCTGGAAGTAAAGCGTGGCTCAAGTAGAGTGCCAGCATTGAGTGAAATAGCCAAGGGGCAACATTCAGGCCTGAGTTCAAGCCCCAGGACCAGCACAAACAAAAAATACGTACAATGAATTGAGGATGTTAAGAGAGAAACAGATTTTGGATGAGGTAGAGGTTACTTCTGGCAGGGAGCGGGAAAGATTAGAAAAAGTGTCTTGGAGGAGAAAGGCCTGGATCTGGAGTTGGTGAGGTCACAGGGTGAAAGTCACAGTGATGGAGGAAGCAGGCCCAGTGGAGGGAGCAAGGCCAGTCGAGGGGCAGCAGCTCTTAGCTCATTTCTCTAGAGGAAGAGGACTGCAGGGAGTATGGTTCATTTCTGATGCTATTTCTACTTTGTACTTCCAGGCTGTAGCCCTGGAAGCACACAGGCTCTATGCATGCAGCCTTTCTGGTCTCAATTATCTTTCCTGCCTTTTTCACACAGGGAAAGCTTTGCAAGCTCAAGTGAAAACACTTTTGTGAAGTGCTTTGTAAATGCAGAGGTGCTAGAGCATGTGAGGTGGTGATACAGAGGTGGTCAGATTGCAAAGCTATTTTGGTGTGCTCTGTGAGCAGTTTTCTTTGGAGGGACTGAGTACCAGCCTGCACACATGTCCTTTGATAATGTGAAATCTTTTGGGCCCTTAGCTGGTGGTGGCAGTTCCTTGTGTCTGAGAAGAGTGACAGATGACATCTGTATCACATTGAGCTGGGGTGGAAGCTGTTTTATCCTTCCCCCTTCATGAGAGGACTGAGAGGCTACACATGAGAGCTGAAGAAGTGGGTGGAGTTTTTAGTTGTTTTGTGCCATTCCTGGGGCTTGAATTCAGGGCCTGGGTCCTGTCCCTGAGTTTTGTGCTCAAGGCTAGAACTCTACCATTTGAGCCACAGCTCCACGTCTTCCTTCCTTCCTTCCTTCCTTTTTTTAAGTTAAAAAAGTATATAGCATCTGGGAAGGTGGCTCAGTGGTAGAGTGCTTGTCTTGTAAGCATGAGGCCCTGGGCTCGATTCCTCAGCACCACATAAGTAGAAAAAGCCAAAAGTGGTGCTGTGGCTTAAGTGGTAGAGCACTAGCCTTGAGCTGAAGAGCTGAGGGACAGCGCCCAGGCCCAGAGTTCAGGCCCCACGACTGACCAAAGAAAAGTATATAAACTAGAATTAATGTTCTCTCTTCATATAACTTCAGGAAGTTCCCTTTGTTAATAATTTGGAGGGTTAGTAAGCTTCTGCCTAAAAAAAATACAGGAGACAAATCACTTTAGAAGAAAGCCTCTCCCCCTCTGTACTGGGATTTGAACTCAACCTTATGCTTGCTAAGTAGGCATTCTGCTACTTGAGTCATACCCTTAGCCATTTTTTGCTTTGGCTATTTTTCAGTTAGGGTCTGTGTTTTGTTTTTTTTTTGAGTTAGGCTTGAACCTCTTACCTTTCATGTAGCTGAGACTATAGGTGTGTATCGCCACTGTCTTATTTGTTGAGGTTTCACTAACTTTTTTCCTAGGCTGGCCTCAAACCATGATTCTTTTGATTTCTGCCACTTGAGTAGCTGGGATTATAGGCATGAACCACTGTGCCTGGTCTGAGGAAAGTTTAATTTTGGGCTCCCCATTTCAGAGGCTTTAGTCTATGATTGGTTGGCGCCCATTGCTTTTGGGCCAGTGGCAAGGCAGCACATTGTAGTGGGAGCTTGTGGTAGAGCAGAGCTGTTTATCTCATGGCCTGGGAGAGAGAGAGGAAGAGGAAGGGAGCTGAGTCCTAATATCCTCTTCAAGGCATGCCTCTGATGACCAGGAAATCCACCACTTATACTTGGTTCTTGAAGGTTCCATCACCTCTCAGTAGTGCCAAGCTGGGGACCAAGCTTTCACCTATGGGCATCTGGGGGACATCTAAGATCCAAATTTTTGTAGATAGTATTCTAAAAAACTTTTCCTCTATACCCACATGCATGAGTACTTTTGTGGGGCCTGAACTCTGGGTTTGGGCACTATCCCTCAGCTCTTCAGCTCAAGGCTAATGCTCTACCACTTGAGCCATAGTGCCACTTCCGGCTTTTTCTGTTTATGTGGTGCTGAGGAGTCAAACCCAGGGCCTCATGCATGCAAGGCAAACACTGTACCACTAAGCCACCTTCCCAGCCCATGAGTACATTTTTGAATGATCATGTGTGTCTATAAATGCATGTAACTTTAGAAAAATTTATACAAGCTGGGAGCAGTAAGCCTAGCTACTCAGGAGGCTGAGATCTGAGGATTGTGCTTCAAAGCCAGCTTGGGCAGGAAAGTCCGTGAGACTCTTATCTCCAATTAGCCACTCAGAAAACCAGAAGTGGTGCTGTGGCTCAATTGGTAAGAGCTGGGGGACAACACCCAGGTCCAGAGTTTAAGTCCTATGACCACCACCATCACCACCAACAACAAAGAATTTATGGCTGAGTTCATGACTTAAGCAAGAACTCAAGTTACTAATACCTTTAAAAAAAACCTAGAATCTAAAATTCAATACCTCTATATTCTGCACTTTGCTTTTTCCATCCAGCTACAAAAATGTTTTGCCATCTTCCACAAAAGTTACCTATTTCTGGTGGCTGTAGAGTATCCTATCATATGACTTATAATTTATTTTTAATATTCTAGTTTTATTTTTTTAAAATAATTTTTGTTCCATTTCATCTCATTATAGACTTTGGATTGTTTCAGAATTTTCACCACTATTAACAATGTTTCAGAGATTTTCTTTGTATATATACCTTTACATTCTTATGACTAGCTATCTTTTCTGTAAGATAGTTTCCTAGAGGTAAAATGGTTAGGTCAAAAGATGCCTATTGAATATATATGAACATTTCTGTTATTTGTTTAGTTGTTTCCCTATCACTGGACATTGGTCTCTTGTTAGGGTCTTGTATATGTTTTATTTTACTAAGGAGGGCTTCCAGATGGGTTTGGGTCACATTTGTGTCTTGATACTGGACTGGAAATTACTCTCATGGAATACCTGAGTTAACTTGAGCAATTTTACTTCTAGGATTACCACGTTGTTTTGCTTCACACATCAAGTGGAGGACAGAGCTTCATTTATGATCTCGACACTGTTTTGCCATTTCCCTGCCCATTTCACACTTACGTAGAAGATGCTCTTAAGTCTGATGATGACATTCACCCACAGTTTAGGAGGTGAGGGAATCCAGTCATGATTTCTTGATTTTCTGAATAAGACCTTGATGATTCCATAGATCTTTTTAACCTCTCTTTTTTTTTTTCTATGCATTTGTTTTGTAACGCTCACTTACCTTGGCCTCAGCACAGAATGTATTTTTTTCTTGGGGGCAAAGAAGTTGGGGATTTCTCCCACATCCTTGTTTTTGGTGGTGGTGGTGGTGGTGGTGGTGGTGGTGTGTGTGTGTGTGTGACTCATACTGTCAAAATTGAGGGTTGTGAAAGCAACTCCAGAAGAATGCCATACCGCATAATTGAGTAAACAAAGGCCACAAATCTATTTCTGTGCCTTTGTAGCTTTTGGATTTCATTTTCCATACCTTTAATAGATAATAAGGCCATAGAAATGCACACATAGTTTGTGCCTGTCATAGAGAATTAGTGCATATAATCAAGAACTCTAATAACAACAGATGCTGGAGAGGATGTGGACAGAAGGGAACCCTACTGCATTGTTGGTGGGAGTGTAAACTTGTTCAACCACTTTGGAAAGTAGTATGGAGGTTCCTCAAAAGACTCCACATAGAGCTCCCCTATGACCCAGCAATCCCACTTTTAGGCATTTACCTGAATGATCACAAACAAGACCATACTAAAGCTACCAGCACAACTATTTATTGCAGCATTACTTACCATAGCTAAGATATGGAACCAACCCAGATGCCCCTCAGTAGATGAATGGATCAAGAAAATGTGGTGTATATACACAATGGAATTCTATGCCTCCATCAGAAAGAATGACATTGCCCCATTTGTTAGGAAATGGAAAGACTTGGAAAAAATTATATTAAGTGAAGTAAGCCAGGCCCAAAGAAACATAGGTCCCATGGTTTCTCTTATTTGCAATTACTAGTATATGTGTGAGACAAGCAGAAACGGTCAGATAAGTTGATGTTAGGTGAAATGAACCCAAGATAAGGACTCAAATGGTTTTTCTTTCTTGCTATTGTTTCTAACATATTTATAAGATGATTTCTATGTTGCTTTGTATGTCCTTCTCCCACGGTAAAACATACCCTGTTTTCACTGTATTTGATGTTGGTATAATTTGGGGAGAGGAAGGGAAAAAACAAATTGTTTAAATAGGGATACAGGTGGACCCATTGCAACAATGAGATGTACAAGACGTTATGTCAAAAAATGAACTTTACCACTTTGGCGTGGGGGTGGGGACGGGAGGGTGGGGGAGAGATGGGATGGCAGGGATGGCAAGGGGAAACAAAGGAGGAGGCAACAGTGCTTGATAAGAAATGTACTCATTACCTTGCTCATGTAATTGTAACCCCTCTGTACGGTATTTTTACAATTAAAAAAAATAAGAATGACTAAGAATGACATTTCTCTCATATAAGCATGTGTTGATTTATCTGCAGGAAATTTAGAGTGATCCGTGCAGATTCTTACTTGAAGAACTTTGCTTCTGACCGCTCTCACATGAAAGATTCCAGTGGGAACTGGAGGGAGCCTCCTCCACCCTATCCCTGCATTGAAACTGAAGGTGAGCAGGTGCCTTCTTGCTGTTTCTCTCCTGTCACTAGTAAACCAGCTGTCTGGATAATCGGGTCAGGAGGGAGGGAGGTCTGCGTATTTCTTAGATTCAGATATTGAAGCATAGAGAATAGGACTGCAGAGCCTAAAAACTCCATGGAGAAAAGGAGTTGATCAGCAGACCCATGGCCTTAACAGATTTTCTGATTATTTATAAGTACTGCTGGACATCACTGAGACTTAGAGAATCTTGTTAAGGTGACAGAAATTTCCATTGCATCCTTATGATGTGTGAGATGTCATTTTGGTGACCTTGTAATAAATCTGTGTTGAGGGGGATGAGAGCCAACAGGTTTTTTTTTTTTTGGGTCCAGTCGTGGGGCCTGAACTCTGGGCTTGAGCGCTGTCCCTCAGCTCTTCAGCTCAAGGCTAGCGCTCTACCACTTGAGCCACAGCGCCACTTCCGGCTTTTTTCTTTTTGCTTATGTGGTGCTGAGGAATCGAACCCAGGGCCTCAGGCATGCAAGGCAAGCGCTCTACCACTGAGCCAATTTCCCAGCCCCCAACAGGTTTTATTGTACTACTAGTTCATTACGTACTTCTAGGCAGCCATCCAATTGATAATTTCCTGAGATTTAAGAAGGTACAGCCCTATTTCTGTTGCCTGGGATTCATACACATCTACAGCATTATTTATGATTCTAAGTCATTCGCAACATTCCACTTGTTGGTGAGATCATCCTGGCACATTCCTATACAGTCTTTAATGAAGTACTCTTGAAGCTAGGAGGATGCCAGAAAACTAGGGTAGCAGTGTTAATAAGTCATTAATGTAGAGTTGTTTGCAAGGAGTGAACATTGAAAGAGCAGTCAGACTGAAAAGCTCTTATAATTTAAATAAATTGGGTGAGATTGCTTCTTGTATACTACTACCTGCTCCTACGCTGGGAAGTAGAACTAAGAAAGCACCTGCCTTTGGTGAGGACTTCCTGGGTTTGCCTCATCATCTCAGGTGACCTGCTATATAGAGTCTGGTCTGAGTAGAGTTATTTTAGCAGTAACTCATTTTTCTTTTTTCTTTTTCTTCTTTCTTTTTTTGTCGGGCGTGGGGCTTGAACTCTTGGCTTGGGCACTGTCTCTGAGCTCCTAGGCTCCAGGCAAGTGCTCTACTACTTGAGCCACAGTGCTACTTCCAGTTTTCTGGTGGTTTATTGGAGGTAAGAGTCTCATGGCCGGGCGTTGGTGGCTTACGCCTGTAATCCTAGATACTCAGGAGGCTGAGATCTGAGCATTGGGGTTCAAAGCCAGACCAGGCAGGAAAGTCCGTGGGACTCTTACCTCCAATAAACCATTAGAAAACTGGAAATGGTGCTGTGACTCAAGTGGTAGAGCACTTGCCTTGCATGCACGAGGCCCTGGGTTCGATTCCTCAGCACCACATAAGCAAAAAAAAAAAGAAAAAAGCCAGAAGTGGTGCTGTGGCTCAAATGGTAGAGCGCTAGCCTTGAGCTGAAGAGCCCAGGTCCAGAGTTCAGGCCCCAAGACTGGACCTCCCCCCCCCCCCCAGCCAAAAAAAAAAAGAGTCTCATGGACTTTCCTCCCTGGGAAAGTAGCTCGGATTACAGGCATGAGCCATGGGTGCCCAGTTTCATTTTTCTTTTACACCGAAGGTCTACCTGGCATATAATAGATGACCTTGTCAGCTTATTTGCCAGTTCTTGATTGTTGTTTGTTTTTTGCTTTGATGGTATTGAGGTTGAACACCAGGCTTTGTCTTCTTTTTCTTTTCTTTTTTTTTTTTTGGTCCGGTCGTGGGCCTGAACTCTGGGCCTGGGCGCTGTCCCTCAGCTCTTCAGCTCAAGGCTAGTGCTCTACCACTTGAGCCACAGCGCCACTTCCAGCTTTTTTCTTTTTGCTTATGTGGTGCTGAGGAATCGAGCCCAGGGCCTCAGGCATGCAAGGCAAGCCTCTACCACTGAGCCACCTTCCCAGCCCCAGGCTTTGTCTTTTCTAAGCAGATGTTCTACCACTTGTGTCACGCCTCCCACCCTTATGTGCTTGTCTGTCTTTATGTCTCAATGTTCACATAGACCATGATCCTTGTATTTCATGCTTCCTGCTGTAGCTGAGCGCAGTCCATTGTGCCAAGCTGCTTCTGTTGAGATAGAGTCTCATGAACTTTTGTCTAGGCTGGTCTGCTTCAGTGCTTCCGCTCTCTGCCTCCCTCAGAGCTGGAATGACAAGCCACAACTTCACACCTAGTTATTGGTGGAAATGAGGTCTTGTCCAGCTGGGCAAAAACTGGTTGAGATGAAATCCTGCTTAGTGGGGCAAAAATTTCTCATGGTTCTCTCAATCTTGGTCTTCTAAGTTTCTAGAATTTCAGGCTTGAAGCACACTTTGATTTAGTCTTTTGCTTTTGATGATTGTTCATGAGGTGCCCTTTTGGCTAGCCTCTTAACATACAAGTTTATAATTAATTTGTCATTGTAACCCAGTGGGGCCACTTTTGTTTGTTTTTGATAGAACTGGGGTTTGAACTCAGAGCCTTGCCCTTATAGGCTGGTGTTGTACTACCCTTAGCTTGAGACCAGTTTTATTTCTTCATTGGATAAATGGGTAAAATGAAGTACATGTGGTTAATTAAGCCTTGTAGGTAATGGTACACTGGTGGAGAGTGAGAGGTCAGGTCACTTTGCTTGAGGAGAGATTTCTGATGGGTGGAATCCTTTTTAGCTTTATATTTATGCAGTTAAAAGTTTACCACAAGGCTGGATGCCAGTGGCTCACGCCTGTAATCCTAGCTACTCAGGAGGCTGAGATCTGAGGATCCTGGTTCAAAGCCAGTCCAGGCAGGAAAGCCCATGAGACTCATATCTCCAATAACCACTAGAAAAACAGTAAGTGGTGCTGTGGCTCAAGTGGTGGAGTGCTAGTCTTGAGCTGAAATGCTGAGGGACAGCACCCAGGCCCAGAGTTCAAGCCCCACGACTGACCAAAAAAAAAAAGTTTACCACAGGCTTCCTGAACTTGAGACTGAATCCACACTGAAGTGTAAATACATGTGTTGACTTCTCATGAGATTCAACCAGATTGTAATGGTCTGTCAGGTGGTAAATTTATTACTTCATGGCGCTGTGGCTCAAGTGGTAGAGCGCTAGCCTTGAGCTGAAGAGCTGGGGGACAGCGCCCAGGCCCAGAGTTCAGGCCCCATGACTGGACCCACCCCCCCCAAAAAAATAAATTTATTACTTCAAACTCCCTATTTATTTAAGGAATATGTTAGAAATTAGGATAAATGTGACATTCTTAGTGTTGTTTTACAAAAATTAAAGGTTTAAAAAGAAAAAAATGTTCAAAAAGACAAACTTTAAGTGGATATCTAACCTCTTTGTACAATTAATAACCACTTAAAGTTATGAATGACAGGAAGGTAAGCAGGTTCTTTGGAGGATGGATCCTGGTAGGAGGAGGAGGTGAAACGTGAGAGTGAATATGATTGAAGTACTTTACATACACATGGGAAAACAGAACCATTAACCTGTAGATGATGGAGGGGCATGTTGGAGAGTGATAGAGGAGTTTAATTTGGCCAGGGTATATTGTCTACATGTATGGAAATATCACAGTGAAATCCTGTTTGTGAAACTCACATATACTAATAAAAATGTTAGGGAAAAAACTCCACATTAATAATACCAACTTTATTCAGTATCTTTCAGTGAACAGAAATAGAAATCTGTGCTCACTTTGAAAAGTTAAAAAAAATATTTTTAAGCCAAGTGTTGCTATACTCCTAGCAACTTGGGAGGCTGAGATCTGTGGATTGCAGTTTGAAGCCAACCTGGGCAGAAAAGTTTGTGAGACTCCTATCTTCAGTAAACTACTCAGAAAAAGCTGGAATGGGTGCAGTAATTGAAGTGGTAGAGCACTAGCCCAAGGACAGTGCCCGGGCCCTGAGTTCAAGCCCCAGGACCAGCACACACACACAAAAATTATTTTAATTGTAGTTGCTATAAAAATTTGTGTGCAGGTAGCTTAGTTGTATGCTGACTTAACGTTCCGTTGGTATTAGCCCAGGAGTACTATAGCAAGTTCTGTTTTTAGTTTTTGAGGAATCTTCATACTGATTTCCATAGTGACTGTACAAATTTATATTCCCTCCAACTGTGTATACAGGTTCCTCTTCTCCCCCCATTCTCACTAGCATTGTTTATTTTCTTGGTAACTTTCATTTTGATTGGGATGAGAGAATCTCAGTGTAGTTTTGATTTGTATTTCTCTATGGCAAGAATGTTTAACATTTCTTCATATATTTAGTGCCCCGTGTGCTTGTTTTGAGACTTCACTATTCAGGTAATTTCTCCAAGTATTAATTGGATTGTTTGCTCTTTTGGTATTTTATTTTTTTTTTTTCTCGGACATGGGGGTAGACCTCGGCCTAGGCTCTTTTCCTGAGCCTGTTTGTACTCAAGGCTAGCACTCTTACCACTTGAACCATAGTGCCACTTCTGATTTTTGAGTAGTTAATTGGGGACTTTTCTCCCTGGGCTGATATCAGCTTCTCAAGTAGTTAGGATTACAGGGTAGCCTAGAATTATAGGCGTGAGCCACTGGCACCAGGCTGTAGAAGCTTTTTAACTTGATGCAGTCTCATGTGTTTTTATTTCCTGAGCAACTGGAATCTTGTTCAGAAAGGTGTCCCTGTGTCTGTATCTTCAAGAGTTAAAGTTTTCTCTTCTGTTTTCCTCTAGCATTTTCAAAGTTTGAGGTCATAGATCCATTTTGAATTAATTTTTATTCAGGTTGAGAGAAGGGTCTACTTTCAATTGTCTACATAGGGTTATCAAGTTTTCTCAACATTATTTGTTGTACAGATTGTCTGTTCTCTCTCTCACGTACTTTTTGGTGACTTTATCAGAAGCCCAATGGTTGTAGTGTGTTTTTTGGATCTTCTAATCCATTGATCTTAGGGCTGTTTTTCAGCCAGTAACATTGTAGTTTGTTTCTATGGCTTTGTAAGTATAATCTGAGCTCAGGTATTAGGTTACTTTTAGTGTTGTTATTTTTACTCAAGAGTGCTCTGGCTATTTGCCATCTTTTTGTACTCCCAAATAAATTTTAGAATTCACTCTTCTGTTTCCATGAAAAATGACATTGAAATCAGCAAAATTAGTGTGGTGAAGATGGTTGTACAACCAAAAACAATTTACAGATTCAGGGTAATCCATATAAAAATTACAACATTAGCGGATGTGTGATATTTTGTCATGATTAGATTGACATGCATTTGAAGCAAGAATCTCACAGAAATGATCTTGAAACCCTATCTGTTTGAGTAATTTCTCCTTTTAGTTTCCTGGATTTTCTTTTTACCGTTCACCCTAAATTGTGTTTTCAGCAGACGTTTCTTCCATGTGTTTTTCTAGACTCCAAAATGAACCTGGACGATTTCATCAGTATGGATCCTGATGTGGGATGGGGAGCTGTCTATACACTATCAGAATTTGTACATCGGTTTAGCAGTAAAAACTGCTAAACTTGACATCAGGACATGGAACTGTGGAGAAATTCTATGATGAGCCATCCTTTCATTTAGGACAGCAGACATTATGGAACAGTTGGCTTGGAGTTAAGTTTTTCTCTTTTCAGTTGAGTGGAAACATGACTGAATATAAATACAAATGAAGGAAATGAAACCTTTTCTTTGGGACTGGGGATCTACTACTGTGTTATCCTTAGCCAAAAAAGGCCTTAAGTTTGGTTCTTATAATGATGCCCTAAATATTTATTTTTGTGATCCAGATCATAAAAACAAACAAATAAAAAAAAAACCCACAAAAAACATCTTTCCTTTTGATAATGTCAAGTTATAGTATATGATTGTTAAAACATTCCTGTGGCTCATTTGTCAGAATGTTAGAATGTTATGGTCTTATTAAGTAGAAGTATGGACTTGGAGGAATTTGGAGCCTTTTGTCTTTTCTGGATGCTTCCTATGTTTCTTGCTATACTGAAAGCAATTCTTGGGTAGGGCTGTGAATGGTGGCTCTGTGATTCTCCAATGCCCGTAAGAGATGCCCATAAAATGTTTCTAGAGACAGCGCAGCTGCTTGGAAAGGGACAGTATTGTAGGCTGAATCAGCAATAAGTATTAGTCATTTTGGACTATCATGGTAAAAAAAAAAGTTTGCAGTTCTCTTGGGCTGAGTGTTATTTGACCTATTTATATATGGTTTTAAATAAAATTTACTTAAAATTAACTTTGTTTTGAAGAGTTTTTCTTCTGTGATTAAACCTAGGGCCTTGAACATGTATATGCTAGGCAAGTGTTAGATCACTGAGCTGTATCCAACTCTTTGTGTCCATTTGTGACACGAAATATATAAGAATGTATCACTCACAGATGGAGACATAAAGGTTGCTTTAAAATATATTGATCACATTTGCCTTCTTGAAGATATCAGAAATCTCGCTTATAATTCCAGGTAAAAGGTATTTTCTAATATGGTCCTTCTTCTAACCAGGATGTCCCAGTGTTTTTTCATAGATGAAAAAAAGAGAAAAAGTTTCTACTTGTTGAGAAAATTCTACTTATTTAGCAACTATCATTTCACATGAGTCCTCAGCTCTCAGCTGTGTGGGGAGGAACTGCAGTCAGATACTCAAGAGTCAAAGGAATGCTGCTTCCCCGGTGTGCTCAGCTAACAAGGAAGATTCTGGAAGTGAAAGAACTTCTTACTGTGTAAGAATAAAGCTAAGATGACTTAGAGCTAAATCTGGACCCCACACTTCGATAGCTTCATTGAATTTCAGATGGTCCTTCAAACCGTTCGCGGCTGTCAGGAAGAAGATAAATTTTGGCAGCCTGCATGATAGAAATACTGTATTCTGAGCAAGAAGAATCACCAGAGACCAAAGGACTGTAATCTGATGTACAAATCGCATTTTTGGGGCCTGTTTTATGAGCATGTTTCCAATCTGGTATTCCAAATTATGTTCAGTACAGATAGATCAGATAATGTCTGATGTTTGATGTTTGAACGTTCCCAGATACCTTGCCTTGAAACAGAAAAACTATTATTTTAGTCAAGTGGAGGTTTTAGAGTTTCAAGCCTGCTAAAATATCCATGATCATAATCTTGACTTGTTAGAAGCAATAGAAGACAGCTGTTACTTTATTATTTATTTTTGTCCCCAGCACTAGTAAGATGCCCTCAGGAACTCTTCTTTGAGTCTCATGGAAGTCCTATTGGCCTCTGGGTACATTGGTGTCACAAAGCATGTTACCTTGGAAAAGCCACTTGGCATCTCTGGGTCTTGGTTAGCTCTGCTAAGAAGAATGATTTTGAGTTTTACATGCAATTATGGAAGAGAAGAGAGAATGATATATAGAGTGAACATGTGTTGCATACTTAGTATGTACTGTTAGTTTTTCTAAGTTCTTTGCATGTATAAACTCATTTAATCTCAAAACTACAGTGTAGGCTTGCTACTTTTTTTTTGGGCAGTTGTGGGGCTTGAACTCAGGGCCTGGGTGCTGGATGCTGTTCCTGAGCCTCTTTGTGCTCAAGGCTAGTATTCCAGGGCTTGAACTCAGAGTCTGGGCTCTGTTCCTGAACATCTCTGTGCTCAAGGCTAGTGTTCTACCATTTGAGCCACAGTGCCACTTCTGGCTTTTTTTTTTCTTCTGTTTAGGTGGTACTGAGGAATTGAATCCAGGGCTTCATGCATACTAGGCAAGCACTCTACCACTAAGCCACATTCCCAGCCCCAACTTTTGGTTTTTGAGTGGTTAATTGGAGATGAGAGTCTTACAGGGACTTTTCTGCTCCAGCTGGCTTCGAACTGTGATCCTCAGATCTCAGTTACTGAGTAGTAGGATTACAGGCGTGAGCCACCAGTGTCTGGCCTGCCATGCTACTTATATTGTCCCCATGTAACAGCTTTAAAAAACAAAAAACAAGGCACAGTCAGGCACTGATGATTCATGCCTGTAATCCTTGCTACTCAGGAGGCTTAGATCTGAAAAATTGTGGTTCAAAGCCAGCTTTGGGCAGGAAAGCCCATGGGCATCTCATCTCCAATTAACCACCAAAAAGCTGGAAATGGAGCTGTTGCTCAAGTGGTAGACCACTAGCCTTGAGCACAAGAGCTTAGGGACAGCACCTAGGCCCTGAGTTGAGGCCCCAGGATCAGCACAAAGATAAAAAATATCAAGGCACAGCCAGGTGCCAGTGGTTCACTGCTGGGCAGGCCCCACGTGGGGAGAAGTTTATACAGCTGATGATGGGGGGAGGTGGAGCTTGCTCCTCAGATGATAAAACTCCACGTCTCAGTCCCATACCAGTCATGGGACCTGCTTAGTTATCTGGTTGGCTTCTTATGTGACCCCTACTGGTACTTCCTAGGGTTGCTTCTCCCATTAACCACTCACATGTAGTCTCTACTTAGAGAAGGTTTTTCACTTGTAGTAGCAAGTCTAGAATGTTAGCACAGTCCTCCTTAGCACAAATCATGCCATTTTGTGCTTGACCATGTTTGGTATATACTAGGTAGTTTCACATATCTGACTTCCTTGTTAAGAGTCTGGTCTATTAGATCAGAAATCTGGACCGGACAGGAACTATGGCCTTGATGAAGCTATACAAAAGACTAAAAAGAACTGGCTTTCAGAGTGTAGAAACTTCTTAAGGAACCATGGAGAGGAGGGAATTAGAGCAAGGAGAAGAATGAGGAGGTTGAAGAGGCAGTTAGTGTATGAAATTTAAGTGTAAAAGAGGGATCCAGCCAGTCACTGGTGGCTCATGCATTTAATCCTTCCCAGCCAGGTGCTAGTGGCTCACACCTGTAATCTGGCCTGTAAGCTACTCCAGTGGCTGAGATCTGAGGATCATGGTTTGAAGTCAGTCCAGTCCAAGAAAGTCTGTGAGACTCTTACCTCCAGAAAACTGGAAGTGGAGTTGTGGTTCAAAGTGACAGAACACTAGCCTTGAGCAACAGAACTCAGGGATAGTGCCCAGGCCCTGAGTTTAAGCCCCATGATCACCACCACCACCAAAATCCTAACTACTTAGATCCAGAGGATGACAATTTGAAGCTAGCCTGGGAAGAAAAGTCTGAAAGATTCCATCTCCAAAATAACAAGCAAAAAGCAGTACTGGAGCCAGATGCTGGTGGCTCTGCATGTAATCTTAAATACTCTGAAGTCTGACGTCTAGAAGATTATGGTTTGATACCAAGCCAGCCTGGCCAGAAGAGTCTATGAGACTCCAACTCCAATTAACTAGCAAAATGCTGGACTGGAGACATGGCTAAGTGGTAGGAAGCCAGCTGTGACAAGAGAGTGGCCTCTTGGAAGCCAAAGTAGAGTGTCAAAGACAGTAAACCTGGTGGGCTCAAAAAGAACAAAAAACTTGAGGGAGAACTTGAGAGTTCTAATAAAATAGTGAAAAAACCCTTTCTATGTGGGTATACCTGAAAGGTGGGGGTAGGGGAGTTGCTTACATTTGTTTTTTCACAGTGCATTTGCTATTTTAACTTTGCACAACATGTGATGGATTCTTACCAGAGTAATATCTGTAAATCAGAACTGTAGGGAAATTTTTCCCTATTACCATTCCATGTTTATTTTGTATTAGTTGAAGATTGAACGTTCATCATTTCGTCTGCCAAATGGGCCTGCTTCCATTAAGTGTATTTTTTTTCCAGTTTATTGTTTTAGAGGTGATATATAGCAGGGTTACCTTTACATACATCTTGGAATAAATACCTTTCCTTTCGCATAGTGTCATCTGTTCTGCAGGGAGATTTAAAAAAAATTAGTTTAATTACTGGGGGTGAGGGTGGAGATTTCATGGTCACATTTCCAGTCCTGTTCAGAGTGTATCCCAGTCAGTCTCACCAACACTATTACTCCTTCCCCGCTCCCAAAACAAGTGCAGCAGCTGTCATTACTACATCTTCGTCGTTGCAAACATTGTATTTCAATCTTATTCAACTGCTTTCATCCTCCCTGTTAGCCCAACCTGTGGAGGGAAGAAGCTTTGATCTTTATAAGGCATTAGAGTGTTCAAGAAACTGCCTTAGGAGCCTCTTCAAGAAGAGACTAATAGATATGAATAATCAGTGAACACTTCCTGAACTCTTAAGTGCCGAGCTCCAAGCTAATCGTGTCTGCATTACCTCATTTAATCCTTCTAGGTCCCCTTTGATATAGGTTCTAGTATCATCCTTCCTTCACAGAACAGTAAGCCAGTGCTTAAAGAGGTTACAACTAAAAGTCATGCAGTCGAGAGCTGTGTAATTCTAAAGCCCATGTCCTCCACCGCAAGGCTAAGGGTGTACCGAGCCCACCCCCATCCCAATTCTGTTCCTGCCTTTCCCTTCCCCATCCAGGCTTCCCTTCACTGGAATTGAGGTTCAGATTTTGATACTATGTACTTCGAACTGGGGAGCAGGAATTATGCAGTTGGTTAGGGAGTAGATTCATTAAAAAGTTTTTTATTCTTGGAGTCAAGGTCTCTGTATGGAGTTCCAGTCTAGACAGGACTGGAACTTCAGTGTGAATTCTTGGATTACAGGCGTGTCCTACAGTGCTTGGCATAAATGTGACATTTTGATCACCTCCGAAAGCGTTGTCTGAAAGTGCTTTTCTTGCAGTGGATAGGTCTCCACAAATGCATTCTTGCTCTCTTGGTACACCAGGGGGAGCACTTCACACAGGATTGAGAACATTTGAGGGGTGCGTCTTCTCGCTCTTGGCAGGAAATACTCTTCATCTTGCTTGTTCATTATTAAATAAATTGTTTTTATTTAAATTTTGCCAAACAATTTGAAAGCCAGTTGCACACATTATAAAACTTCACCTATAAACAGACACTAGCTGGGCACTGGTGGCTCATAGCCTGTAATTCTGATTACTTAGGAGGCTGAGATCTGAGGACTGCAGTCCAAAACAGCTGGGTCAGGAAAAGTTTGTGAGATTATCTCCAATTAACTACTGAAAAGCCAAAAGTGGAGTTGTGGCACTAGCCTTGAGGAAAAAAGCTAAGACCAATACCAGGCCCTGAATTCAAGCTCCAAAGAAAAACATTAAAGCAGAATTTTATAAGCAGAAAACTGTTAAGTCAAGCCAGGTGCTAGTGGCTCACACCTGTAATCCTAGCTACTCAGGAGGCTGAGATCTGAGGATCATGGTTCAAAGCCAGTCCAAGCAGGAAAGCCTGTGAGACTTATCTCCAATAACCACCAGAAAAACAGG